TTCCATTGGTCTACCTGTCTATTTTTGTGCCAATACCAAGCTGTTTTCAGGACTATAGCTCTGTAATAGAGCTTGAAGTCAGGCATGGTGATGCCTCCAGAAGTTCCTCTATTGTACAGGTTTGTATTGTACAGGTTTGTCTCTCCATATAAAGTTGAGGGTTGTTCAGTTTGTCACTGCAGGGGCATGTGATAGAACAAAACATCTTAGTAGTTTCCAGAAAGTGAAAGATAGAGAGGAAAAGACCATTTCCACAGCACCCTTCCAGGACACGTGTCCACTGACCTGAAGACCGCCCCATAGGTTCTACCACAACCCCCAAGTACCATCCTTGGCTTTTCCTTTTCCAAATCACAGTGGAGATTCACCAGACAGCCCATTACAAGGGGATATAGTGAGAGAATGGCCAGATGATGTGTGTAATAAGACCAGAGGTGAAGCTTTTTCCAGCTACAAAGTTGTGAGATTCAGGGCTTCAGCATTATTTAATGTCAACAATTTTGATCTTCTTAAGTCATGTCACTGAAACACTGTTGAAATCTCCTTTCTCTCAGTCTGAGGAATACAGTCCCTTGGAACTGTGCATAAGACAGCATCAACATCATCTTCAGCAGCAGCAGCCATAGCAGTGCAGCAGCAGCAGCAGCAGCAGCAGCAGCAGCAGCAGCAGCAACACATAACCTTCCATTACTACCATTTCTCTATGTTTTTAATCAAAAAAGCACTGTGTATGATTAGACAGCTCTCACAGTGAAGTGACTAAATCATTAAAGTTTGTTTCTTCCTTTACCCTCAATCTAGCTAAAACCAAATTCTGTCACTGTCCCATTTTGAAGAGTACTTGAAAGTAACCATTACTTTGGAATCCAGGGCAAAGCCAGAGGGTTTGGCTGATGCTGGGGGTTTTACAGATGTTCCTGGTACTGGCAGGATCTTAACTCAGAAGAGGATAGGGGTGTTCTGGGAAGTTTGTGGCAAAGCTTGCCCCGAAAGAGTGAAGAAACACAGATAGAATGCATATTTCTGTTGCTGATGACATCCTCCTGAGAATTCTTATTTGGGCTTATTGGTTGCTAGTTTGATATTCATTAATTATTTTCCCTGTTTTTTTGTTAGTAAACTTATTTTTATGCTGTTACCTTTGTATATAAATTTATTTTCCCAGCCTTTTTTCCCCATTTGGG